ATCTGAGCTAATCATAGAAATGCCACATTCCCATGTATGCATGTTGAACTTCTTTCACACCGTACGTAGCCAACCGTGTTCATCGGAGGTGCGGGAAAGGACAACAAATTAAACACACAAAACATTTTATAGCACAACTTTTATTGACTTCTCACCAAGTTGTACAGCTTCACTATGCAGGTCGTTTTAATTGTATCAACCTGAGAGAAATGATGATGATAGCTGTAATTCCTGCCGTTATAAAATAATGACTATGCTCTCCCGTAATTTTTGACGCAACTTTATGACTATTGTATCGAAGCCATGCAATCTGAACACAGTCGTCAAACTCGGAGTGATTTATGAGTGTGCCGATTTTTTTTCTTACTGAAAAAAAACTGTTTTGTTAAACCTGACGATGGCTTTGACAGTTTGGATTTAATGGGGTCAGCCAAAGGGAGAGAGGCGGGGGTCCCCACCCCCGCCCCCCGGCAATACCCAGAATGCATCGTATATAACCTGGCCTCTGGCCAGTGTCGGATTTAGATTGTCAATGTTAAGATGGAGGGCAGGCGTCGGGGGGAGAGGGAGCGTAAGCGGAGGCTTAAGTCGTTCTGCTGAGATTTCAATGATGAAACACGCAAGACAGATTTCCTGATTTATGACTGTTCTGTACACGTGTTATTAGCGCCTGATGAGTACTGTATTTATCTATGAGGAATACAACAAATAAGTATCTTTGATGAAAATGCTCTGAATGTGTTTGTATCGTGTGTGGTAGTGGGCCTTGGCGTACACATAGCCTGGCACAAGCGCCGTGGTGATGTCACCGCCACTTAGTGGCCAATGGTGGCTGAGCATGGAATGATTAACTGAATACATTCAGATCGTACCATCACTTTATAAAATGCATAAGAAGCATGAATCCAGAAATCATTTCCGATTCATGAAAACTGCACAAATTGCGTGTAAATCATTGCGTTTAGGGAAATGAAAAGTCTTCTCTCATTTCCTTATATGTCCCATCACGCCCGCTCAGACCCCGAGCAGCACCACATAACGCCCTTAATACCAACACTGCCTTCAACTCGCTCCCTCCACCCTAGTAACTACCTGATCCCCATCCCTTATCTTGCCTTTTTGTACTGTAGTCAGCAGGCATTGTTAAGCGCCTTGATTAAAAGGCGCTTTAGAAATACAAAATAGAATAGAATCTAACACCTCTGATTAGTGCGGTTGGATACATAGGGTGCAAAAGAAGTTCACACGTATACAAATGAGACAGTACAAACGAGACGGTACAAACGGGATTGTGCAAAGCGAGAGTACGAGACTAAAGTTTTCTTAAAATCGAATCATGGATTCGACCACGACCATTGCAAATGGAATGTTCGATCTCAAGGGGGTCTCTATTCACTGGTGGGGCCCGGCCCCACGGGGCTCGTGCTGCCAATGCGCGTGGTGGGGGGGATTTGGTTATTGAGGTTACGTAGAATCTACGTTTTTAAAGACCATTAAAGTAACTCATGTTTACAGTGTACACTAACAACTAAGCTCAGTTGATTACAAACAAGAGCGCATTAAAACAGCTAAACTATAAGCAAGGCATTAAAATGAACAAGATAAAACCTTAAGTACAAATTTAGATGACAATATATCGCAATCCAAGCAGTATACTCTGCGAAATTTAAGCTTGTCTGACTGATATCCATGTAAAAAGTTAAAAATTATTTCATTATTTGAAATGTTGAAGTTTGTGTTCAGTCCAAGTTGTACCACAACGATTACAAAAAATTAGCAGGTACGTGCAGTTTTCTGAAGTTCATTCAAAACCCGTTTACTTGCAACTTATGCGTTACACTCGACACGATCCTGTTGCTTTAAAATAAACGCCGCTCGTCTCAGAACACCTCCATTTTGCAAAAGCAACAGTGTCCACGGTAAATCAACAGTGTCCACGGTAGATCAATCTTCGTTGATTCTGCACAAATTACGGATGGTTCAAAATCGAGATACTCGATTATTTATCATACTAAAGGAATATGATCAAATCATAGTACTTATCATATAACAAAAATTGATGCCAACGTTTAAGGTAGACCATATTCTTGTTAAACCACAACCAGCTGGTTCATGAGGATGAGAACGAGGCAAGGTGGAGGGAGATCACGACCAGAGCTGCCAGCATGGTGCTTCAGTCACGGGAGATGGATGCATGATGGGCTTGTACTAGCATTTGTTACTGAAACACATGAAGCTAAACATAGCAGAAGAAACAGGCGAGGGCAAGGTGTTGCGCCATCGCTGGTATGGTTTGTGGTGAATTATTGATTTTGAATAAATTGCGTACAGTATTTCATTAATCAGTAGACATTGACAGACAGATTCCACTGTGTAACAATTTTTTTGTTCCTGGGTAGTAAGTCTTATTTCCCAATTGCTTATGCCTCAAAAGTACAGAAAATGGCTATTATTCCCCACAAACTTAGCTTTTGTGACCAGGACAGTGATATTTTGGAATTTACCTATTTTCCAGAACATTCCAGATATATTCAGTGCTGAGTAAACTTAGAGTAACTTCTAGAACATTCTAGAAATTTCCAGTGATATAAATAGTAGTATAAATACAGAGGCCTTAAGCCCACAAGTTCAGTTTAGTTCCATCTGCCTAAGTGGATAAAAATCTGCATTTTTCTGAGATGGCATCAGGCTGCAAACATCCGGCAGACGCATTTTGCTATGTCTACGGCCAATTTATCAAGTCAAGAGCAAAAAAGTACTCTGTGCTAAGATGTGTGAGGCCTACAAGGCATATTTTACCATGCCTGTCAGGGATGAAGACAAACCCTGGGCACCTCATTTCAACTGCGAGCAATGCAAAAAAAACTCTGGAAGGCAAGATGGACAATTGTTGCTCGGAATTTTACGTTATAAAATTTGTAAAAAAAAAAAAATTGTAAAAGTTTTTCATTTTAAAATATTTAACAATTTTCAATGTTATTGAAAAAAGTATCTTTGAAAAATGTAGGATGACACAGAGGGGAAAATAGAGCCATAAAGTTCGCTATCCCAAGAATTTGGCGGGAACCCACTGACCACTCAAGCAACTGCTAATTCTGCATGGTGAGCCCTTCCAACGTCGGACTGGCAATACACCCATCACGTATCCGGACCTTCCTTCATCCATTGCCCTGGTGCCACACTACCATGAGCTCCCCGTACCCACTCCTCTGGAGAGAGAGCAGCCGTCTTGAGAAGAGAGCAGCAAGTCAGAGAGCGAGGAAGACGTTGTAGATCCAGATGACAATTTCAGAGGTGGAGATGAGAGAAATCCATACTACCCCAACCAAAAAAACCCCAACGACTTGATCAGAGATCTTGGTCTCACCAAGTCCAATGCCTGAGCTTTTGACGTCTAGGCTCAAGCAGTGGAACTTGTTGGATGTAAGTGTGCAAGTCGCAGATCAGAGGAAGCATCACCAACCTTTTTGCAGCTTCTTCACCCATCAAGATGGGTTCTGCTTCTGCCACAATGTGACCAGTCTGTTCGAGGCAATCGGAATCGCCTGTAACCAGAATGAGTGGCTCCTCTTCATTGATAGCTCATCCAGGAGCCTCAAAGTCGTGCTGCTCTATAATGGTAACAAGTACCCGTCTTTTCCCCTGGCTCACTCGGTGCACCTCAAAGGAGGATTACAACAGCATCAAGACCTTGCTGGACGCATTGAAGTATGATGAGTATGGCTGGCAGGTCATCGGAAACTTAAAATGGTGGCATTCCTGATCGGTCTCCAAAGCAGTGGCCGAAACGTCGTGAGAATTATTTTATTATGTTTTATTTATTATTTTATTATTTCCATTCTACGTGACTTTACCGAAAGAACCAAGAAGATGAATCCCTGCAGTCACGAAAGCTTAAAATCGGTTTTAACAAGTTTCCCTGCTATCTTTGCCTTTGGGACAACAGGGACACCAAGGTGCACTACCACAGACAGGACTGGCCATAGCAGACTGAGTTCTCTGTGGGGAGGAACAACGTCAAGTGGGAGCCACTGGTGGACCCCCAGAATGTGCCGATGCCACCACTCCACATCATATTGGGCCTTATGAAACAATTTGTCAGAGCTGTAGATAAGGAGTCGGCAGCCTTCAAGTACCTTCAAGACGTCTTCCCTAAGCTGTCTGAGGTAAAGGTCAAAGCCGGAGTCTTTGTCAGATCACAGATAAAGAAGATCCTGGAGTGCAATGAATTCCCCAAGAAGCTCACTGGTAAGGAAAAAGCGGCTTGGGGCAGATTTGTCGCAGTGGTTCGTGGCTTCCTGGGCAATCACAAGGTCGAAAACTATGTGGAGCTGGTTGAGACTGGTGAAGAACTACGGCACAATTGGCTGTAGGATGTCCCTCAAAATCCATATCCTTGATGCTCATCATGATAAATTCAAGGAGAACAAGGGAGCGTACTCGGGAGGAGCAAGGCGTGCGCTTCCACCAGGATATACCGGACTTTGAACGCCGTTACCAAGGACAGTATAATGAGAACATGATGGGAGACAACATTTAGGGGTTGATTCATGAAAGTGATTTACAGTATAATCGTAAATCTCGAAAAACTACTCACTTTTCAATCTTTTGTAGTCATTTTTGTATTACTTTAGTATAAATACATGTTAATTTTGATTCATGTTTTTTTCTGACTTTATGTGAATAAAAGATGAATTTGCCCGTTTTCTCATTGAAAATAGGTAAACTTCTAAATATCACTGTCCTGGTCACAAAAGCAAATTGTGGGGAATAAGCCATTTTCTATACTTTTTAGGCATAAGCAATTACGAAAGAACAGTTACTACCCAGGGACAAATATTGTGTTACATAGTGTTCCATTGATTGTTCAAAAATTGACAGCCATATTATTAATTTTCAAATTTATCTGCACCTTTGAACACAATCTGTGTGCTTGTGCATTAAAATTGTATTCATGACACACGCCCTTCTCTTGTCCCTCTCTGCGTCCCTGCCCACAGATGTACTCCAACGGCACAGACCTTTGCGAGAACATGTGGGGAGTCTCCTACCAAGTGGCACCCGAGGGCAAGCCTTGCCTCTACATCGGAAATGAGACGAGCCCAGACGTGGAGGGCGCCCTGGCTCATGAGCATAGTGGCGAGACCTCCTCGGCGGAAAAGACAGAGAGCTCCGAGGAGCACAAGCAGCTGGCGCGTGAGCCGAAGCATAGGCACCCAAACCGGCGCCACTATCCGAACTGCCGTAAGGCCAAGAGCAAGGAGAGCAAGGAGAGTGCCGAAGAGCAAAAGGAGCCGAAGCGGAGCAGGAGATCTCTCCAGTCCACCTTGCAGTTCGTGGAGGAGCTGGAGGGCAGCAGCAGCGGCATTCCAGACAGCCCCGTGGAGTAATCGAGAGCAGATCTCGTCAATGCCGCACCTTTGGGTAGAGCTAGTTATGGTGTTATTGGGTACCCCAATTCTTTGAGATGTTGACACAATGTTTATGAACGAGGCCAATTTAAAAGGGGGGAAGGAGGGATACAAAGGAACCCCAAACTATACTTGGTGTGAAGTTAAACCGACATTGAATAAAAACATGAAGAGATGCATTGGTAGCGGTGCACAAGCACAAATAAACAAAACTCAACAAGTTTGTCATTAGCACTGCCTCTAACGGGATGATACAAAGTAGGTTGATATTTTGGGCAACGGTCCTTCTTCAGCAACGGTCCCACTCTGAAGAAGTACCATTGCAGAGGCAGATGGTCCTGAAATAAAGCTTTTTAAAAATAGGGCCCTTGCCATTAATTAAAGCAATTACATGTAATTTCTCTGTTAAATATATATTTTTCCAATTTCAGCTTCCCCCATCCACTTTGATCAGCTACTGGACCTTGGCACAAAACTTCACCCAAATGGACAGTTCTCTGTTGTAAGGCAGACTTCGTGACAAATGTGGAAAGGCTTTAAAAAAATTACCCTGACATTCCAAGGAGTTAAGAATAGGGTTTTTCCTTTTCTGGCAACAAAACAGGTGTTAAGTTGTTAAAACACCAAACTGAAACCTTTTACAAGGAATCATGTCTGCATTAACCACAATACATGTAGTCAAAATGCAAACAAAAAAACACTGATAATATATGCATTGTCTTTGAAACCGATTGGTCCACACCAGAGACGGCTTTCTTTTGAGTCTCGTCTCAAACGGTGTTAGACCTAGAGGACGCTGTACACCTTTTGAGACTGAGGCTCAAAAGAAAGCCGTCTCTGGTGTGGACCAATCAGTTTTAAAGACAATGCATATATTATCCGAGTTTTTTTTGTTTGCATTTTGACCACAAGTATTGTGGTTAATGCAGACATGATTCCTTGTAAAATGTTTGTTTGGTGTTTTAATAACTTAACACCTGTTTTGTTGCCAGATAACAGGGGGAAAACCTATTCTCATGTTTTGGTACTGGCAAAGGAGGTCCAATGATTCCAAGGGTTGTCTAGCAACACTGGCCGACATGTGTGAATATAAGATATGTTTCACTGCACTTATAGATGCACCATGATCATTTCAGTGCATGTCAGCTTACAATAAATTTAAGATATTTTTTTCATATGCTTTAATATGGAATTACATTCTTAACAGCAATTAATAGGTGTTTTTCCATCTCAGTAGTCATACAAATGCGTTTGAAAATGGCACAATTATGAAGAAGCGTTGATTTCTCGAGCCAATATAATTACATTAAAATCTCAAGTATCGGACCATGTTTGAAATGGGGGAGGGGCGGTTTGACCATGCTGGTAGGTGTGTTGACGATTTGCTAAATATCCATGAAAGAATCATTACAATACATGCTTCGAATAAACATACTATCGTGAAAACGTTTAACTGTTGATTTTTTTTAACAGTTCAATGGTATTGTTATGAAAGATCATTTTTATGCAATTATTTGCAGTGGGTGCCCTGGTTTAGTATAATTTATATTTCGGTGTAATTTTAAATCCTGTAATGCACATATGCAAAGATTAAACATCGAAAAGAATGCCAAGACCTCACATGGGAACGCATGTAATATGTTTAATGCCAATAATAAATGTGGGTCATTTTTTTAATCTGACATTTATACTAAGCCTGGCTATTAAGCCCAATTTTTAAAAAATGATCCTTGTATTATAATATTTTGGAACATTTCTGCAAAAATGTCTCCTTTTACGACAAACTAGCAACATCGGTGAATCTAGTTTCTTTCGATGGCAGACATGTCAACAACTAAGCTGCAGTTTGCGGTCTGTTCGACATACACGCTCATGTGAGAGGAGAAGCCGCTGCAGACCCCAAGGGTGGCGTCACTGGGTCAGCAGCCATCCTTCCCGCAGCTATTGCAGGAGGAGTGTGACCGCCTCTGTTAGTTGATCAACCCGGTCCGCTAAGGGCCTCCTCTCGTGGGGTCGAGGGCCCTCTGATGTCGCTCCTTGCTCCCCACCATCTTTTCATGGTTCAGGGAGTCGTTCCGACCCCGTAGGCAGACCGGGCCATCTCCGGATCATGGCCGTTCAGGGTGCTGGGAATAGTGTCGCGTTCCTCCCTTTCTTCGCTGGGATTTCTGGTGGGGTTTTATTGTTGCCGCGTCGAGGCATCTTGTTATGCCACCACTCCCACCAGTCGGAGAGAGAGAGTCCACCAGATGAAGATTGAGGGTCGACACTTTTCTTTATTTTCTGCGGGCTCATGCCGTACGCGTCCACCCTGCTCCATTCCTCTCCCAAAAACGCCCCCATCCCCCCGCCTCTCCCGATGACGACATTCTGATATTGTACCCTTAGTTCACGCGAGTATTTCTACCCTCGGATCACGCAAGTATCAGCACTACACTTGCGTTGGAGGCTCCATGGAGGACAATTGTCTGTGACGCTTTCTGGCAAAAGCCCATTTGGCGGAGACAGACTCTACCCGTGCCCTCGGGGTTCTTTGAGAAATAGGAAAACTGAGGTTGGCCACGTGGAATGTCCAAATGTTCACTGTGGAGGAGAGGCTTCCTCATTTTGAGTTAGACCGGTACCCCCTGGACCGAGTATACAGGAGGTCCAGTGGATTGGTTTTGGCTGCAGTCACAATGAGGGATGGACAGCTCTTCACTCAAGGTAGGAAACTGCCAAACTGGGAATTGCACTTCTGAAGAAAATAATGACTCGCCTCTCCACCAACAGGAGGCATGGAATTGTGTGTAAACCACACTCACCCATAAGATAAACATCAGTGGAGGAATGCAGACAAGGCTGATGAGTCAGGTGCCTTCTGTGATCGCCTGTCCCAGGTTCTGGCTAAAGTGGCCCCTCGGGATAGAGTGATTTTGTTCAGTGATTGTAATGCCCGAGTGGGTCATGACGTGGGCACTTTGGCTGTAGTGATTGGAAGGCATGGACCAAATCAGCTAATTAACAACTGGTAAGAGACTGCGCGACTTATGTGCAGCCCCTGGACTTGTAATAACCAACACGCTGTTGCAGCATCAGCACATCCACACAAGATCATGGATGCACGCCGGGTCATCTGCTGGACTACATAGTGACAGGACAGCGAGTGTGGGCCCATGTCCTTGACACCAGGACGTACTGTGGAGCTCATCTTCCCACTGCCCAGCGACTTGTCATCTGTACGAAGCGCTTGCCTTACTTCAACCGTGGTGGAAATCATCCATTTAGGACCCCACTCAAACCAACAATAGCCTGGTCTCGGCTAGCTGAAGGTTACAAGTGATAATTTCATAATTGCTTGCAACTATGTGTGGCATCGCCCACCCCCCCCTCGTCCTGATGCCAAGATGAGTTTCAGGACTGCAACTCATGCAACTGTCATGGCTGCATTGGATATGTGGATCCTGGCCTACGATACCATCAATAGGTCAGGTCTGGGTTATTCTTTTGTGCTTTCAGAGTCCAAAAGCTTAGTGGCCAAGATTTTGGAGCAATTTCCGCTTCACCTTGGGGTGCGACAATTATGTCTTCTGGCTCCTACACTATTTAATATATTCTGAACAGATAATTCAAGAAGCTTTATATGGATGTACCTGTAGAATTTCCATCTTGTATAGATACAAGAAGAATGTCCATCTTATATAGATACATTTGTTGTATGCTAATTCATAGATTGGTAGGAGGTACTCTTTTATTCCGGCCTTCATAGCCTTAGGCAATAAACACACTGTGTTGGGACAGCCAACATGCTGCCAGACCCAACGCTTGAGGAGGGCAAAGATCACAACGATGACAGCACGACGAGTTCTATTCCATATCCCAGCCACCCTGACTGAGTCGGAGCTCGCCTGAACAGCATGGCCAAGCTCCGCCAACGGCCTCGCACCCCTCTGGATCCCCCCCGAGGGTTCCGTCCCTTGCCCACAGATGCAACTGGTAGAACGGGCTGTTACCCCTAATTCTATTTTCTACCAATCTCCCAGCAGCACGCGCTACAGTGACTCATTCCATGTCACTACATCACCCCCCCCCCCCCCCCCCCCACTAAAGGGCCTGGCACGGGACCCCCAGGGACCCCGGGAGTGACTCGCAGCTGGCCCAATGGGCGCGGTCCCCCCGGGACAAAGACCGGGAGCAAGTGAGGGCTTCACTATTCTGTAAAATTGTCCGATAATTGCTGGATGTAATAACCAGCGAAACGTCGTACTCAAAAATGTTAAATGTTGTGGATTCACTCTTCACACTGGTGGGCTAAAGTAGTGAACTATGTCTTTTGTCAACGTGACACTTTTTTACTGATTGGCTGTGTCGGGTGGTGGAGGGTTACGACACATTTATCAATAACGCAATCTAACCCAAAAACGTTTATTATGAGTACCAACGCCATAAGTTGCTGGAACGTGGCCGGAGCGGAGTGAAGCCCCATCGTAAACACGTTAAATTGAAACAGCCCTTGCGGTGTCCGGAACGCGGTTCTAGGTTTTGAACTTTCATCCAGGGGCAACTTCCAAAACCCTAACAGATCCAGGGTGGAGAAAAACTATGCCCCCGACAGAGCATCCAACAAATCATCCATCCGTGGGAGCGGATACGTGTCCGCCACGGAGACTTTATCTGATTTCCGAAAGTCCACACAGAACCGCAAACTCCCGTCCTTTTTAACCAGGACAATGGGAGCACCCCACCGACTTGACGGGGAAATTATATCCGCGGCCAACATCTCGACCGCCTGACGAACGTAGTCCTTTTCCTTCGGACTAAACCGAAATGAGTTTGAATGGGAGCGGCACCACCCTTATCAATCTAGGTGACGCATGAGAGACGTGTGTCCCACATCAAATTTACCCTTACTAAATACAATCGGAGAATTCCCAAAGCAATACCCACAACACGCCCCTCTGCTCCCATGATAAATCCAGATTACCCATGCACAACGGATCCATCCACGAGTCATCCAACACCACTTCCCGTTCAACCGCAGCCACGACCCGAGTGGTTACATCATCCGTTTCTTCACAACACGCAACCATCGCATGGGCCAACGCCGTACCTGCCTGTATTACCGCGGTATCTAGCCCATGCATTCAATACTTGCAGGAAGGGCTCCTGATCGCCCCTCACTATCGTCCGAGCCCCTATCAAAGTGAGCCCATGAACTTCGATTCAAAGGGATTAAAACAACCCCACCCCCAGTGATTTTCTGGTCAAGCCGCTTCCGTAGCCTCAATGGTACGAGCATCTGTGCACCCGGGGGAACCCTAACAGTTTCACGCACCACGGCCCGAACCACAGCGTTAGCCATACACCACCCAGTAGTAGACTCCAAAAACCTCAACCGATGCCCAGACGGTAACGCCACACAACCCTGGGTCAATTCAAATCCAGAGGGGCATCCTCTTTAAAAAAAAAAAATCCATCCCAAATAAACAAGGCACTGCCAATTAACTTGAAACCAACACCGGGCACGTCCTTTCAATATCACCAATCCATATCGATGCCTCAATTCAGCCCATAACACTCGGATTATCTACAGGGCTAAGGCAACCCACCATCGACAGCAGAGTTCTAAAAACAAACTCTGAAACCATGGTGGCGGATGCCCCTGTATTTATGAGCATCCGCACCTCAACCCCTGCACAAATCCACATACCGTGGATGATCCCGCTCCCGCTGCTATGATACGGTGTGGCAGTGCGGTCCATTGCCCGGACCCCCGCGGCCAACCTTCATGCACCGAAGCACCACCTTCATACCCCGTATCCCTATGAGGGGCGATGGCGTGTGCATCTAACACCAACTGCAATGGGGGTGCAGGCAGGTGACTGTCGGCCTGGTGTGACGTATCGTGACTTGCCTTTTGGACCCAGAGGAGGGAGGCTGGCAGGGCGGAGGACGGCGAAGCTGGGAAAAACTGCCCCAAATCAGCACGGCAGCCCCTGGAGATTTAGCCTCGCAGGCCACACCTGAAGTAGATGACGGGCCCCGCTATGGCAGAGGCAATGTCCCACCCATCCCACCACTGGTCCCGTTGTCGTCCTGCTCCAACTCTCCCCCGTGGGCTCCAACCACCTGACGCGCAGACCCAAGGAGACTCTCAGTGCACCTGGTCGCCCTCATCTCCCGGAAATCCAGCCCCAGCCGCGACCCCGACACGTTGCAGGTTACAGTGAGCGTGGATGCATCGGGCGACCTGAAGAGGAAAATTCGTCCTGCTCTGCGGCCGGAAAAAAAAACGTTCATTTCCTGAGCCAGCATCAAGTTTCTCTAGCAGCAGAGAATGCAGTCCTGCCCGCTCCATCCTTGGGTACGCATCATGGGCGCCTACCTTTCGATTTTAAACCGATGCCCCACCCTTACCTGGACGATATCATCCGTGTGCCCTCCCCCACCCCTGCCCCAACCGGTTTAGTCAGGGTGGCCATCCCGCAGAATACACAATTTCAGTCGGTCCAGGAATTTCCCTTCCATCTCCTCTCATGTGCTGTTCGCTGGTTGTTTGCCCCCGAGGCTCTATCCCCCGGTGCCGAGTGTTCTGATTGTGGTTTGCTCGGTGAGCTTCGTCGTGCCCATACAATTCTAAGCTGA